GCTTGGGAGAGCTGTCAGTGTATTCTGATGTATGAGGGATAAAAGGAGTCCCTGCTGCAGTCTCCAATAAGCTGAAGTCACAGCCTGAAAGCACTGACTTGGGCATCACTATGCTGTGTTAGAAAATGTGTCAATTATCAGATGGACTGCCTAAGGGTATCGCCCTGGGTCTAGGTCATAAAACCATCAGGACCAAGGGGGAAAAAATTGATGAGAAGTAAGTTGAATTAATTGATAACTAGGAGGACTGTATGTGAAATGTATTCTGTATAACCTAAACTCAGACATTTTCTCCCTTTCTTTCAGGGTAACCAATAAATATATGTCTCCCAATTTTGGGACAGTACCATTGCCATCTATCCAGACTTTTAATATCTTCCCAACTTTTTCATTATTAAAATAAATAAATAAATATAAAGTTAAAAGACAAGAAGCTATAAAAATAAAAGTGAAATCATGTTAATATTTTATAGCTATTTTTCTATTATTGCAATTTCTAATATACTGTGCATTTGTTTGTATGTGAATACAGTTGGGACCACTTAAATATCTAGCCTGAGGCCTGATTCATGAAAGCTTTATGCACCATTTATGTAGGTATCTGTGGCATTCACTCAGAAAAAGTAAGGAATACATATTTTATAATAAAGTTTATTCCTGTGCACAACCCACCTACAGTAGCTCTCCATAACTAAAATTGGAAGAACATCAAGGGTCCTCTAAATATCTGAGCAATTCAGAATTTTAGATAAAATAATTGGCAGTGATTATCCAGTTGTAGCCTAGAAGTGCAACACTCTCCACATGAGTACCACGGCCTCATTTCTGCCGTTCAGAGGCATGTATATAACACTACTGACTCTTAATGAGGTACATACTTTGGCAGGACAACAGGACAAAAGCACTTTTTTTAACCACAGGTGTTTGGTTTTTTGTTCTCGTTTTTGTTTTGTTTTTCTGAAAACAACATTTTCAACACCTTTGTGTAAAGAAAAGTGTGGAGAAAAGAGATAGTGTGTAATAAAGTGACTTGTCAAAGTCACATGAAAACTCTTCTACAGATGAAAACCAAAACCACTCTGTCCATTACTTTAATTATACATCTTTCCTTCCTCTCAGGTCACTTGAGACAAAGTATTTCCTAAATATCTACCATCTTTAAATGTTAATTTCTTAGATTCATGAATCTAGTTCTTCTCATAGGAAAGTGACACGTAGGTCTCCACAATTTACAATTACCTTACAGTTGCTTCAGGAATACTGCTGCACTGTAAGAGTAGTGTCACGCTTTGGCTCTGAATGCAAAGTCAGTACTGCAGTAAAAAGAAAAAAAAAATACTCATACCATATTGCTAACACAAATTCACCTCTGTCCAAGGGGAAAAGTGAAGAGAGACAAATAAATGCATTTTCATCACTTCTTCTATTCGACTCTGTTCAGTCTTTAGAGAGACCTCTCCTCATGCAGCAGTGCATGAGTTTGTACAAGGTGGATTGCTGGAACAGCCACTAGTATGAATGCAAGACATTTTTTGTAGATGAAAGGAAAAATACAGTATAACATCAACCTATTCAAAATAGCCTGGGAATCACAGCCAAGAACTTTTGACTTTTGCTTGGCTGGTTTCTCTGCACTCAAGACAAGGAGGGAGCAAAGAGCCCTGCTGAGCCTTTCACAGCAGCTAAACATGAGTACTGCCTGTGTTCCCTTCTCAGTGTCCTGGGAACCTTCACTCTGCAAATTCCTGGGACAGTCATGTCTGAATCCACAAGAAGTTTGCAAAATTATAGACAGAGCCAGTGACAAACTGGAGTGCCAGTTGCATGGAAACCTCTAAATTTTCAGGAAAAAATAATACTTTTATAGCAGATTCTAATATAGTACTTTTAAAGATTTCTGTTAGGGAGAATTCTGGAATTTGTTTCCAAGAAGGCTTCATTGTTATCTTTTCCAAAATATTTCTGAAGGTTTCTGTGAAGTCTAGAGCACTCTGTCCTCTTCCTTCTAGGGAAATTACTGAGTAGGCTATAGTAGGCTATAGAATGAGGATTTATATCTCAGCAGCCTTCCGTGTTTCCTTACTAGCATATGGAGAAGCTGAAAATGAAATTCTGAGAGAAAACTGACATTAGCTAAAAAAAATAAAAAAGAATCACTGTAGAGAGAATTCTGATTCTGAAGAAAATCTACTTTTCACCTGACAAACCAGAGCAAACTCTTCAAAAGCACATATGGATTCTGAAATCAGTGGAAGGACTGTGCAGACAGAACAATATGGCTCATATTTTTCTGAACAGATGAGTAGATGCATTCTAAACCACCTTTAGTCTTTTTTATTATTATTATTTATTTCTTTTCTTTTCTTTTCTTTTCTTTTCTTTTCTTTTCTTTTCTTTTCTTTTCTTTTCTTTTCTTTTCTTTTCTTTTCTTTTCTTTTCTTTTTTCTTTTCTTTTCTTTTTTCTTTTCTTTTCTTTTTTCCTTTCCTTTCCTTTCCTTTCCTTTCCTTTCCTTTCCTTTCCTTTCCTTTCCTTTCCTTTCCTTTCCTTTCCTTTCCTTTCCTTTCCTTTCCTTTCCTTTCCTTTCCTTTCCTTTCCTTTCCTTTCCTTTCCTTTCCTTCCTTTCCTTTCCTTTCCTTTCCTTTCCTTTCTTTTTTTTTTCTTATTCTATTTCTTAAGTCTTTCTAGTTCCTAAGAATACAGATTTGCTGTATTCAAGCCTAGATGTAGTGGGAGCATGTAGCTCTGCACCAGCTGGCAGTCTGATAGAGTCTGGGGTAACCTTTGAGGCAGACATAGAGGATGTTTCTTGCACTCAAGTCTACTTAGGTGTGACTTCGAGTTTAGGAGGATCCCAGGCTATGAATCTAATAATATTTGCCTTTGAATGTCTTGTTTAGGGAAATCCTGAACTGTGAATATAGGCAGCTTTACCAGGTTGGGACTTTGGCCTTCAGTCTCTAGTATGAGCCCTACATTCCAAAATACCTTGCAAGACTAATTCCTTACTTTCTAAGGGAAAATGTCCAATACCTACAGGTGTTGCTGGAAAACAGCAGAAATCACAGAATCACAGAACTTCAAGGTTGGAAGAGACCTCAAGATCATTGAGTCCAACCTCTGACCTAACACTAACAGTCCCTACTAAACCATATCCCTAAGCTCCACATCTAAACGTCTTTTAAAGACCTCCAGGGATGGTGACTCCACCACTTCCCTGGGCAGCCTGTTCCAAACAGACCTTTCCTGAATAATAAAGTTAAGGGAACATAGCACTTAGCAACAACTGCAATAGAAGCAATCAGGGATTGATGTTCTGCATACAAGTTTCTCGAGCTGTAGATTCATAGTGATAGTCTATATTTTCTCTAAAGTACACTAAGATATCATGGCTGCAAAGGTAAAAAGGGATTAGGGCATTTGGAGATATTTCTGGGTGTGCCTGATTCCTATAGTCTTTTGTGAACAGCATTTTATTTTTTCTGTGTTTTGACAGCTTTGTTCCTGCTCTCTATAGAACCCAGATAACTGACAATAAATATTCATAAGAAAATAAATAAGAAATGAAAATTAAGGACATTTTTTAGACTTCATGAAGAATCTATTTGTAATTAATCACAAGGTTAAGCAAGAAGAAAAGGGATACTCTTATTGAACCTGCTTCATCCTCTAGACATAATGGAATAGGTGTTATTGTCTCAAGTCTCTACAGTCTGAAGGTAATAATGAAATTCTCACTGATTTCAATAGTGAAGGAGAAATTCTCCAACTGTCCAAAGACTTCTGACATTTTCCAGTAAATCCAAGAAGGCCAAATGTTATGCTCTTGTAACTGACATTCTTTCTGCTCTGCTCTTTACTCCCTGAAATAATCAAGTGTTATGCTACAAAGGCAGAAATACGATGACTTCAGCTTCCAATACATGTGTCAATATGACAGAATTCTGACAAGAACTGTGGGGGCAATTACCTCTTAAATATACAATAATAAAGGACAAATCCTGCTTCCTTCCTCTGAGGGGGGAATATTATTCTGCACCAGTTTTGGGTTCAGTACCTGGAAATACAGCCATTTTCCAAAGGTTGAAAAAAAAAAAAAAAAAAAAACAGTTTGAATGAGCAAACTGCTGGAGATAAAGTCAAATTGTACATAAGATGCATCTGTGCATGCACAAAAATGTTAGTTTTTTCTTTCTTTTGCCTTTTTAAGGAAAAAACATAGAATTTGGTTTGAATAAAGCTAAGCTGCAGTGTAACTACTAGTAAATATAGTAGCTATTTTGTAAGTATTGCTGTCATTTTCTTTGACTAAAGTTACAGAAATTCTTTGAATTTTATATAGGGGACTAAATTTGTAATGGAAAATGATGTTTGATGGTGTTTAAATGCAGAGTATGTCACTGTAGAAAGCATAGGGCTCTTTTAAGTTATTTTTTTTAACTTCTTGACATGTGTCACAATTTGGAATTCTGCTCTCATGGGATAAATGCCAGATTACATGGTGTAGTATTTTTATCCTCTGTACTTTCACTGTAGAAGCATACAACATCAAAGAAGAGGCAGATCACTCACATCAGCAGAAAATGGAATAGGACTATAATATGCTTGCTTTGATCTCTCCTTCTAATAATTATCTTGGCTACATGCATACATTGAAAGTAAGATTTGAATTAATAAGGCCAAGAGACCCTGGAAAATGTAAGAAGGATATCTGAATACCAACTTTGACTATCTTTAACAAGATAAACTGCAATCGAGTCTACAAAGTTGTGGATTGTTAATTTAAGGCAATAATCCTTAAATGTTATTCTTTCTTAAACTTGTCACCACTACATTCAGCAGATGCAATCAGTCCAATTAAGACAATATCTTTTCAAAATTACACTCACCTATAGTTAGAGTAGGGAGGGTGGTATTTAGCTAGTATTCACTTGATTTCATATAGGTTTTCAAATAGGAGGGCCTACGGTAAAAATCATTAAATTTATATAAAAAAGTCATCACTACACAGTCTGTTATCATTAAAAACTATTCTAATATTGCCTTAGGAAAGATATTGCTTTTGATATGGAAAATAAATCAAATCATCCACATCCACATAGGATTTATACAGAGGCAAGAAGCATATTGCATGCCTGGTCAGTCATTTTTTACATTTTTTTTAACAGTGTTTATTGCTATATTGTGTTTTGGGAATCCTATTTCTGCCCTATGTGAGTAGAAATTATAATGTAAACAAGGTGGATGTGTGTGAAAGCCTCATACAGTTAATACTGTCTGGAAGGGGAGAAATCTATGGCAGTATGTTGGTCCCGGAAAATGAAAATATCTTATTCTGCTTCATTTCTGATATGTGTGAGTTACATCAGTAGATGGGTAGAAGGCATGTTGCTCCCAAACCCAGATTTTGCAACTTCAAATTATTACTTGGCTGAGCTACTAACCATCACACTAATACAATGTCCTGTAGTGTACAAAGGGATACATAATGGGCTGGTCAGAGTGACTTAAGCACAGTATGAATTAAACAAATGAGAACGAGCACATCTATGGTTAATATACCAAACACAAGTTCCAAAAAGCCACTTGAACAAAGGCAGTCTGTCAAAACAGCAGAGGCTGCTGTTGTCCTCAAAATCCCAGTCAAAGGTTAAGAATGTTCTTTTAAAACAGGGTTAACTGGGCATACATGTAAAAGATCAACATGCAGAAAGAAGTGCTTTGAAGAAATACTCTCTCTGCTGAAAACAGGCAAGCTTTTCTCATCTGCTGAACTTACCTGACAGTGGATGGGAGTTGCGAGAGAAAATGTTTGATTCAGTGAGGATGTTAGGAAGGGCTTTGTTGAATTCTGAGACCAGCACTTCTAATTGAAGCACAAGCATTATTAAATACTCATCACCTGGCAGTCCTATGTCAGACAGAAACAAAAGGAAGTGTTTGTGACCAGGTGTAAATTTTGGGACAAATTTCTCTGTAGAGGACTTGTCACAAAACAGTATGATATTTGCAGAAAAGCATGAATATGCTCCGGTATTCACAAGTGGTCTCCTACCCTGAGGTTGTTATACTATCAGTAGCTACTGAGCTCCCAGACTTGCCAACCAAAATTCAGAAACCTGTTTGTTTTTCTTTTCCCTGACTCGCCAAGTTATTTCCTAGTTTTCAGTGTGAGAGAATAGGTCACTAGAGTTAAAGCAGTGGCTGGGAGTACGTCCCATGTAAGCAAAAGCTGTTCTCAGCAGTTGTCCATGTTAGCTTTCTGCAGCTGCACAAAGTCCTGCCATGGCATGCTAGGATTCAGGCTCCCATCAACCCAGTCTCTCCAGCAAAGATGTTAGACAAGCACAGGGGTGATTTAGGGAGCTTCCCATGTGACTGTACCAGACCAGAAAGCAGGCTTCACCACTTGGGCCTGGGAGGTAATTCACCTTAGCTGTACCTTAATAATGCTGCAAAGAAGTGTGTTTAAGTTCAAGATTTCTTTCCAGTTGCACCAAATGTTTGTGGTACACAGTTCTAATCGGGGTAACTCAAGACATCCACAGAGGTTTTGGAATAGAGGAGGTTCCTTCCTCCCTGTCTAACTTCAACATTCAATATGTTTAAAAATGTCTTGAGCTATTATTTTACAATGTGAGGATATAGAGGCAGTTTCATTTTATATAACAGTCTCAGAAATATTCCAAGTAGGTGCTATGGTAATAGAATACTGTGGTAAAAGGGCAATCACAGTATAATCCCATCAGTGGTGTTTTTATTATATCTGTTTAAATAAGACTCTTGAAACTTATTGTAGCAGTATGTTGTTCACAGTACTGGCACATTTCTGAATTCATGAGGTACACAGTTTCTTGAATGTTAGATTCTCTCCTCTCCTATGTAAATAGCTCTAGTGGATGACCCAAGCCAGAAGCTAAAGCATCCACACAGACACTCACTCAATTCTCTGGGAGGAACAGGGAATGAATAAGAAAAGCAAAAGTGAGAACACTTGTTGTTGAGATAAAAAGTTTAGTTAGTGATTGGAAAAAGGAAAACAACAACGACCAAAAAAAAAAAAAAAAAAAAAAAAAAAAAAGCTAATGTCTGAATAATGACTACTTTGGAAGATCAAATTCCCAGTTTTCATTGCTGAGCACTGATGTTATATGGTACCAAAATTCTGTTTAGGCAGCTCAGGTCAGATTTATGCCTGTTTCCTCTCCAAACATCTTTCGTGTCCCCAGCCTACTGGCTAGGGACACAGCGAGAAACAGAAGGCTTCAATGCTGTGCAAGCCCTATTCAGCAACAGCCAAAACAGTATCAATGCTGTGTGGGTCACAGATTCAAAACACAGCACCATACAGACTGTCTGACAGATAAAGTTAGAAATCATTTATTTTTCATTTAGGTTAGAAAAGACCTCTAAGATCAAGTCCAACCATTCACCTAACACTGCCAAGTGACACTACGTCCCTAGCACCACATCTACACAGCTTTGAAAACCTCCAGGGATGGTGACTCAAATACTTCCCTAGGCAGTATTTCATATATATATATATATTTGATATATATATATATGTATATATGTGTATATATATAGATATCATATAGTTCTTATACCTCACATATATGGTTAGGTATTTCAATAACCTCACCAAACCCCTTTCAGTGATTTTTTTTCCCCTATATCCAACCTAAATCTCACCTGGCCATAACTTGAGACCATTTCCTCTTGTCCTATTGCTTGTTGCCCGAGCGAAGAGAGATAGACCCCCTACCCCACTACAACCTCCTTTGAGGTAATTGTAGAAAGCAATAGGTATCCCCTGAGCCTCTCTTTGTCCAGATTAAAACAAACCCAGCTCCTCAACTGATCCTCTTAAAACTTGTTCTCCAGACCTTCACCAACTTTGCTGCCCTTCTTTGGCCATGCGCTCCAGCTCCTCGATGTCCTTCTTGTAGTGAGGGGCACAAAAACTTAACACAGTATTTGAGAAGCTCCAGAGCTCACTGCAGCAGACACATGGGCAATGTGAAAAGACAAAGGGAATCTCTCTGTAATTTAGGGTAAGAGGTAAAAAATTAAAGAGTTAAAAACATACAAATTGTGGAAAGTATATATTTCATTTGATTCAAAAGAAAGAGAGAAAGAGAGAGAAAGAGAGAAAGATAGAGAGAGCGAGAGAGAGAGAGAAGCAAGAAAGAAAGAAAGAAAGAAAGAAAGAAAGAAAGAAAGAAAGAAGAAGAAAGAAAGAAAGAAAGAAAGAAAGAAAGAAAGAAAGAAAGAAAGATTTTTTAATCAGAGACTTTTTAAGTTTGAAAAAATAGAGATAAATGTGTTTTTGAATAGATTTTCCAAGTTTAGCAAAAGATTGATCCATGTAAAACAGATGTATACGTTACAAATAGCTAAAGAAACTGAGATAGATCTAATATTCAGTTTCTATATAATTACATTCAAATAAGAGTGGAAAGAAATTGTCCAACAAATTGACTGAGGTTAGTTAACAAGAAGGGGTGTTGAGGAAGGAAATGAATGTGTAGCTCCTCAAAGATCACTATTAGCATTCACATTGCATATTTTCATTAACAGCTTTTTCACAAAAAATAGCCATATGCTGATGCCACTGTTGGGAAGTATCAATCACAGAATCACAGAATCACAGAATTTCTAGGTTGGAAGAGACCTCAAGATCATCGAGTCCAACCTCTGACCTAACATTAACAGTCCCCACTAAACCATATCCCTAAGCTCTACATCTAAACAGCTTTTGAAGACTTCCAGGGATGGTGACTCCACCACCTCCCTGGGCAGCCTGTTCCAATGCCTCACAACCCTTTCAGTAAAGAAGCTCTTCCTAACATCTAACCTAAAACTCCCCTGGCACAACTTTAGCCCGTTCCCCCTCGTCCTGTCACCAGGCACGTGGGAGAACAGGCCAACCCCCACCTCTCTACAGCCTCCTTTAAGGTATCTGTAGAGAGCGATAAGGTCGCCCCTGAGCCTCCTCTTCTCCAGGCTGAACAAGCCCAGCTCCCTCAGCTGCTCCTCGTAGGACTTGTTCTCCAGGCCCCTCACCAGCTTCGTCGCCCTTCTTTGGACTCGCTCAAGCACCTCGATGTCCTTCTTGTAGCGAGGGGCCCAAAACTGAACACAGTACTCGAGGTGCGGCCTCACCAGAGCCGCGTACAGGGGGACAATCACCTCCCTAGCCCTGCTGGTCACGCTGTTTCTGATACAAGCCAGGATGCCGTTGGCCTTCTTGGCCACCTGAGCACACTGCTGGCTCATATTCAGCCGGCTGTCCACCATCACTCCCAGGTCCTTCTCTGCCAGGCAGCTCTCCAACCACTCATCTCCCAGCCTGTAGCTCTGCTTGGGGTTATTGCGCCCCAGGTGCAGGACCCGGCACTTGGCCTTGTTAAACTTCATGCAGTTGACCTCAGCCCATCGGTGCAGCCTATCCAGATCCTCCTGCAGAGCCTTCCTACCCTCGAGCAGATCGACACACGCACCTAACTTGGTGTCATCTGCAAACTTACTGAGGGTGCACTCAATGCCCTCGTCCAGATCATTGATGAAGATGTTGAAGAGGACCGGCCCCAGTACCGAGCCCTGGGGGACGCCACTAGTGACTGGCCTCCAACTGGACTTGACTCCATAGCAAAGAAGAATTGGGATATCATACTGAAAGACCTGGATGGCTTTCAAGACTATAATATTGGGAATTGTATTCAACTAATAAATAAACAAAAATCAACTGAAGTGACACAGGAGCATAGGGAGCAATGCACACCCACTTGATCACAAAGCTTCCCACTCGTTAACCTGCCAAAGTGACAAAACAATGAAAACGAAGAATGCTATCCTGGAACAAAAAAGGGCAAGGATGCACTTGTGATTACTACTGAGACATCTCTGGGAATTGGTCACCCATCTTCAAGAATGTTTTGTGGAGGGTGGGGCAAACATAGCAAGAACTAACTGTACAACCAGGAAAGAGAAGAGGCCCTCACAGTGAGTAGCCATGTAATCTAAGCAAGAGACCTAGGAAGTGATATGCTTCATACTATAAGAAGGATGATTACCTCAGAAAGGGAAGATCTTTCTAAACTAAGAAAACATGTTGCCTCATACAAAAATGATCCTGCCACGGCAGTTATTCTCTGATCCAGAAAGTTTCCCTGCCTGGTGGAGGACTAATTCTGCATCATCCTATAAGAGAAATACATACAATATGCAAGAGAGCATTGATACAGAATTTTTATTTTATTGCTATCTTTGAGCTAAAAATAGATATACATGTAAAATCAATGTTTTGTCTTCTTTTTTTGGTCTCTTTACCAGTGCTATACTCAGTCTAAGTGATGAACCAGGGCCACAGATCATTTTCATAAGACCATTGGCTGAAAAGCATAGCTTATCATCTTAAAATTAATAAACTGGTGACTGCAAAGTAGGGATTGTCTTTTTCTGGAATATGCATTATTTTTATATAAGTATTTTTATATATATTCAGTCCAAAATTAGTGAAAGTGTGGCTCTTCATCACCACAGTTCATTTAGGAAGCTTTCTCCATCTGTACAACCTTTGTCACACAAATATACAATCTTCATATTTAAAATTTGTTTTTATGAGAACAAGCTTCCTTGCATAACAAGTAAATAAGCAAAAGCAGACATTAGAAATTTAATAGAACCATATTTTTATGAATACTTTTCTCAGTCCATGACAGGATTTTGATTAGGTTTTTGTTTTTTGTTTTTTGTTTTTTGTTTTGTTTGTTTGTTTTTTGTTTTTTTCTTCACTTTGCTGTGATCATCTGCACTGTTATTGCTGGGCTTTTTACTTCCTTGTAACAAATGTCTGGAATATTTTATCCAGGCAAACATGCGTATTCATGTATGAATTAGTCTATTTTC